CTGCACCATGGCTTATCCTGGGCACCCTGGCCACCCTGGGCACCCTGGGCACCCCGGCGCCGGCGGCGGGTATTACCCGGGTGGGGTAAGTGCAGCCCGCGCGACCCTCCTTTCGGCCTGTTTCTCTGGCTCCCTCCTACTCTCCGTCCCCTCCGTCTCCCCGCGGGCGGCTGCGCGGGCGGATTGCGACCCCAGAAGCCCACCCTGGGACTCTCTGATACGGGGCGTGAAATTGTGCAGATGGGGTGTTGGCTTCCTCCCCCTCCCTCTGTGTTTTCTCTAAGAGCTACAGCCATTTTAACTTAGAATGGACCAGAGACCTGCTTCTTCTCTTAAAAGAAAGTGGGGGAAACTGGTCGGGAAAGATCGCCGGAGTCAAAGGCCCCCTGGAGGGCCCCCTCGCCCCGCGTCCGGGATGCGCGTTGTCCTGGGAACTGCTTCCAAGACAGAGTGTTCCCTCCGGGCAAAGAGCCCAACCCAGACACACCTTACCCCTTCCTGGCTACACCTGTCCCCCGACGCTTTGAAAATGCCATAACACGCTATAAAAATAAATTTAAGTTTGCTTTTAAATTGCTTGCCTAGGTTGCATTTACTTCAGTGACCTGAAGGTTAAAAGGGGGGTTTCAGTTGCTTCGCTTACCCTGATGTCATTCATGTCAGGACAATTAGTTTTGGTCCAAGCCTCCAGTTTGTAAATCCTACTGGAGCGAGCGTGGAAGGAAGGGGTAGAGAAAAAAAAACGCACAGCTCAGTGAATTATCACAAAGAGAATGTGTAGACACACCCAAATAAACATTACCCAGATCAAGAAACAGAACATGAGGCAGGTAATATTCTTAATCTCCGTTTTATAGGAGAGGAACTTGAGGTGGGGAGGGAAAGGATGGGGAGGGCGGGCCATGGCTTGGCTTTGCACAAAGGCACCCAGTGGGGAAGGAATGAAACTTGGTTCAGTGGAATAAATGATACTGAATTTGTGTTTTCTGTTTTACAGTATGGAGGGGCCCCGGGAGGGCCTACGTTTCCGGGACAAACGCAGGATCCGCTGTATGGTTACTTTGCAGCAGTAGCTGGACAGGTTAGCTTTTCCCTTTAATATTAAGAATCATCAGACTCTACATTTGTATTAGCCTTTGTTGTAGGGGCCAGTAACACGACCTTTCCTCTGAAAAAGAATCCCGTTGCTTCTGCCGAAGAAAAAAAGAGGGGGAAATGCTTAGTTACTTATTTCCGAATATTCAGAACAAATTAGGACAAAGTGTTCCTGGTATTGACCTTAGTTCACTTCAAAACTAAACTTGTGATTGGATTAGGGTCCGATTGAACACAAGAGGGGATTATTAATGCCCTTAGGAGATCTGTGAGGTGGAAAGATGTCTTTACACCTGAGTTGTCAGGGTCCACCGTGGTTTCCAGACAAGAAATTGCCCATCTGGTGACCACAAACCCCTGTTTGTACAACTTAAAGGCATGATGTACTAGTAGACTTCTACAGTCAGATGCCAATGGATACTTTCTTTGGATTGAGCTTGATTGTTAACCAGTTACCTCCCTTAGGAAATAAGTATTTATGCTAAAAACCCACCAGCTTCAAAATAAGAAAGGTAGTACTCTCTTCTTTCTATCAGGAAGTTAATCTTGTGAACAGTTTAGTTTCACTTTGATGGAGGTGCTGTGACTGGGTCAGCCTTCTATGTCCTTATTAGGTGCTGTGGCCTGTTTACCAACGAGCTTTCACTTCTCTGAATTCTGAGTGGTTTGACAGGGGGTGGTGGGCATTGAGGGAGGTCACTTCCCCGGCTCAGGAGGTCACTGTGTATGGTCAATATGCTGTAGGTGTAACCCAGATATGTCCTGAGGCATTTGCTCATATAAATTCAACTTAGCTTTGTTTTGGTCAAGCTAGAAGCAACACAGTCTTCATGTGGGAATGCCACAGAAAGTGTGGGATAAAAGCCTCAGACCAGGTTTTAGAACAGCACTCTAAGAAATTCAGTTTGAGAAACTGAGTGGAAAATTGAGTCTAAAACTGAAAGAGCTTCCCTTGAAGTATCTCCTTAATCTGTTAATGATCTGTATCTTTGAAACCACAAGACACAGCAAAACTCAAGACTCACATTCGTAGATGGCCTGTGCCTCCAGCCCTGTAAGTGACCCCACCTGCTTAGCTTTCACAGCCTGGCCTGTATCAGCATATCCCTGGCCTTTCCAATTGTTGACCCTGCTCCCCACTTAGAACTTATATGGACTTGAGGAATTAGGTGTTTTATTTTTAAATCCCCCAAAATAATATATACCTGGCTCAGGCCTAGGCCAGCCCATGAATAGGCCCGGGGAGCCTGTTTCTCCCAGATATAGTTATGATCTGAAGACACCATTCACCACACTATCAGCAAAGTGAACAGGAAGTTCTCTCTCTGAACCATGCCTTTCATTTGCTGATGTCAGTTGTGTGCCCTGCTTTCCCCTCCCCCAAAAAAGCTAGAATAAGAATTTAAGCAACTACATAGATTATTTTATTTTAAAAATGCTTAACTCTGGCACTTTCCTAGCTCAGAGAGAGACAAGAGAAGTGCAAGTCAGAAACTCGTTGTATTCATTCATTTGAAAATATCAAATATCAATGGAAGAAACAATTCACCTCGGTGTTTTATTAAGAGGGGAACCTTACACTTGAGAGTGTTTATGCCAAATCTAATTCAGGAGTTTAGAGGAAATGATGAAAAGATATTGGTAATATTGGTAATAATAAAGTATAGGTGTTAGCAGCTTTCTGACTGTGTTAATTCTTGTGTAATAATTATTTAACATAGAGTCTGAAAGTGATATTAAGAAATGCATTTTTTTTTTGTTATGGCCCTAATTATCCATTGGTGGAAGAGTTGCCTTTATTTCATCATACAATTATTTTTGGAAGTAGGATGAAGAAAAGAACGCCTATTTTTGAAATGTATTTCTTTTAAAAAAATTTTCATGTATGATAATACTTATTTTCTTGGCTATTACTGCTACATTGAACACTGAAAGTAAACAGAGAACTGGATGGTACAGATGACTATGGTGATTTCTCTTCCTACTTTTGTTTTCGAAAGGATGGACAAATAGATGCTGATGAATTGCAGAAATGCCTGACAGAGTCGGGCATCGCCGGAGGATACAAACGTAAGTTGCCAGTCCCAGAGTTTCTCTAGACGTGCTCTCGCGGTTCCTACTTTAGCTGTCGCTCGCTTATGATGACAGCCTTCAAGGAAACTGCTTTACCGATCCGGCAACATTTAGAATTTCAAAAGTGAAATTCGGTTTCTTATTTCCAAGTGTGAATCTGAATGCAGTTCTTAATAAATCATTCCACACTACCTGCCAATTTAGTGGGTTTCTTAGGTTTGGGTTCTCTATATTTGGGTTCGCAGGAACCGTGCGAAGCAGAAACAGTTTACGTGGTCTCCCTCCCAGGGAGTTAAAGTGCTGAAGTGAAATCGTCCAGCTTAGGTGTCTTTAATGACAGGAGAATGTCCGGCCTAGAGAAAAGTTTCATAAGAATTTATTTAAGCCAAAATGCTGAGGACATGCCGGAAGCAAAATCTCAACAAATTGAGAAAATGCTCCAGAGAATGGCAGTTTTGCAGTTCCTCTTATGTATTTTTGAATCAAGGGAGCAAATGTAAGAAAGGCACATGAAATCCATTGGTGGTAGATTAAGGAGGTGGGAGAAAGCAAAGTGGGGCAATCTCTAGGGATGGGTAAAAGGCAACATGGAGAAGCACGTGGTTTTACATTGGTGAGTACAGGATAGTAAACAATGAACATTCAGAGCACCTAGAGCTGGTATGTGGGGAGTTAGGTAACAATGAGGGGTGCTGTGGTACCTGAGGCTGTGCCTTCCAGGGCGAGGGAAAGAAAATTACTCTGACATTTCAAAGGCATGTTAGCCTAGAGCAGTGATGGCGAACCTTTTGAGCACGGTGTGTCAGCATTTTGAAAAACCCCAACTTAACTCTGGTGCCGTGTCACATATAGAAATTTTTTGATCTTTGCAACCATAGTAAAACAAAGACTTATATTTTTGGTATTTATTTTTTATATTTAAATGCCATTTAACAAAGAAAAGTCAACCAAAAAAATGAGTTCGCGTGTCACCTCTGACACGCGTGTCATAGGTCCGCCATCACTGTCCTAGATGCATCACAGTGGACTGGGCTCACTTAGTGTAAAGATTGACCTTTGCTAAGGAAGATATAGGCCGGGGACGGGACTACCCCCCGTGGCTTGCCCAGGTAGGAATTTATGACCAGACCATCCTGTGCGGTTACTTTCGGTCACTGAGTGTGCCGGGCCTGCCATGTGGCTCCCGATAGCTGGTGATGGTCCCTTTTTGTTCACAACAGCTAGCATCTACTATTTGCCAAGAGCTTACTTTGTCCCCAGCCTGGAGGCACTCGGGGCTATGAGTGGGCTGGCCCCCTAGTGGCCTGCCTGCACTCCTGGCTCTGAGTGCGGGTCCTGTCATCCACCCTTAGTCTTTGAGGAGCCAGGTCTGCATTCCTGGTCTCAGCATGCTGCTGGCAACACGAATATTTGGCATGACATTCCCGGGTCTTGCCTCTTTCCACTTCAGAGAATGTGTTTGGGCTAAGACATTCCCTTCCTAACTTATAACTATCCACGAGTCCTCCTTTCCCCTCCTCCGCAGTTCCTCACAGACTGAGTCTGCTGCCTTATGACTTAGCACTGACACCACTGCCCTGCCCTTTGAGCTCTGCCTCCAGCTGCATATAGGGAGCCATTGCAGAGAGGCTGCCTCCTTAACGGATGGGGCGGGGGTGTTCTCATCCCCCACACGCCTCCTTTCAGATCAGCTCTGGACCCTGACAGATACCCAGGGCACACGATAGTGTCCTGACTGAGGTGCTGTAGCTGCCAACTTCTTTGCCTGTTGTTCATTGAGGCAGAACATCCAATCGAAGCCCCCACTGCCTGGGAAACTGCATTAAAATTCCCAAATGGAAATTCACGCCTGAGGATTTGTAGTGGCATCGTTTTTACTGTTTGACATGGCGCATTTACTAGTTGGCTCTCTATTTAGGCTATTTGCATTTCTGGTTTTACCCTTTGTTTCATGTGACTTCAGTATCCTGTTAATATTTCCTAGTTGGGGAATTAACACAAGGGAGGAAGCTTTTACGTTTCTGCCATTTACTCTGGTCCTGCCCCTACACAAAAGAAACACTTTCTAGATGAGGGGATTTTTTTTTTTTTTTATTGTAGGCAGGACATGCACATTGTTACCCGTTAACTTCAAGCAGCTGAGGCTAGTGAACAGACAGTCTAATGACAGGGTTTAGCAAGGCGAGCCCTGTCACAGCGCACGCTGTTATTCTACACCCGCTCCGTAGAGAGGTGTGGGAGGTTTAAATCTGACTAACAAAGTGGCTTGCTCATCCTGGGAGAGCAGTCCTTGGAAAAATCTCATCTGAGAAAGTCACACTTCAGGGTGTGGCTTTAGAGAGGACATTTCCTGAGTCATCAGGACCATGTGAGCTCTGGAGAAGGTATTTCCTGAGTCACCGGGACCATGTGATGAGCTTCATCACATCTGGTGGTGGGGGCTGTACGAACCACAGAGCCTCCTACGTGACAGCTGTCGGACCGAGTTTTGTAATACAGGAATTACACATTCACGGGTCTCTTAAACCCAGCTTCCAGACCGAAACAGCACAGGCGGGGGCGAGGGGGTCTACTCCAGCCCAGGACCTACAGGCACCTTTGTAACCTGATAGTAGGAAGCAGCCATACCGAGAGGTGGAGTTGATGAGGGCAGTTGCTCATCTGTAAGATAGTCATTCAGCTTCTGTGTTTGCCTTGTGTGCAATTGTTCCTCTGAGCTGCAGAGAAACAGCTGGAGGCAGGGCTCTCCCGTCAGGTCTGTTACACTGGGTTCCTGCTAGAAGAAAAGGTGTGTGAGCCATGCTAGTAAAATGAACTGGAGAAGGAGAGTAAAGGTACAATTACAGTGAAGATTACTTTGCAATTATGTAAAATAGAACTCGTAATAAAAGCTTTTCCCGGAGGGAAAATACAAGTGATATTGAGCGAGAGTGTCCTCACCCCAGCTGATGAGACATCAGCCTTCTAGTCCCTAGAACGGTCTGGAATGGGGGATTCTCTGTTCACTTTTGTTCACTGCCCATCGCATTCCCTCCCTTTGTAACCCTCAGAAAAAATGACCAGATTTCTGTTCTTCCTGAAACAACTCTAACTTGTCACTCTCCTCCTCTAAAAACCTGGAGTAGCTCCATGGTGCCTAAAAATAAAAGCTAAACAGTTTATCAGGAATTCAAGGTAGTGTAGCCTCATGGAAAGGTACCTACTTCCTCCCACTTCCATTGCCTGCCCCAGACATCCCTGCATCTTTGCTTATGCTGGCCCCTAGCTCTACTTGGCTGTCACCAAGTGTCCCCCATCTTTCTGTCATTCAAGGTTTGGCCTAAATGCTGCTGCTTCTACAAAGTCTCTCTTACTAGGAAGGAGCATATAAGTCTTCATTGCATCTTATTCCAGAGCGCTCTTATTTAACACAATTCTCACAAGCGTGTTTATCTGGTTCCATATATAATCTTATTGAGTATGAACAGAGGTCAGGCTATTTGAGGTAGGAGGCTGCCATTCAGAGCCTGACATTAAATTTAGGGAAAAGAAAGAAAAATACGATTAGACAAAGAACTAGCAAACCAGCTATTTACATTCAAGTTTGAGTAGCAACAAAGCACCCCTACCTTCCTACTCACAGTGGTGGGTGTAATACTAGTACATTGTGGCTCGTTATGGTGAATTGAACTCACTCTATTACAGTTTCAAAGGTAAGAAGGTACATAATATTTTTAAAAGACTATACTATGGAAAACTTTAAGCCTGTTTAAGATAGAGATAATTATACTGTGAACTTTTATGTACCCATCACTCAGCTTCAACAGTTATCACTATATGGCCTTCTTGTTTCAGCTCTAATACTGCCTCGTTTCTTGTGAAGCAAAAGTGTGTAAATTGTATTCCCAGTTAATTTGAAGGTATATAATGTAATGTGAATTTTTGAAATTGTATTAATAGGTATGTACTTTCCTTGATTTAACAGCTTTTAACCTGGAGACTTGTCGGCTTATGGTTTCGATGCTGGATGTATCCTTTACCTGGATTGCTGTTTGGAGTATTTTTTCTTGTCAAAAAAATTCCTCCCTAAAGGGATTCTTCTAAGAATTAATACCTTGTACACACAGTGATAAATGACCAATTTTTTTTAAAAAAAAATCCTTAGCTTTTAAGATGGAAATTGAAGAAAGGAAGGGAGCTTAGTAAGATGTTGGTTGTTCCAGAATTCAAGGAAGCAGCCAAGGAGAGCAGTGTAGAACTCGGAGCTTTTTTGCTTCAGCAGTGATTGTTCTATGTGACTCGCACCTGACCTTCAAGCCGTGGAATTTGCACAGCACAGTTGTTGGACTCAGTTTAGCCAGTGCTGGCCCTCCGGTACCTTCCATCCTACCTCACTTGCTAAAGTGAAAACCGTGGGTCTGGGAGGGCTTACCAAGGGAGCTTTAGGCCCCACGAGGGCCCCAGGACCGAAGGGTGAGCCGCGTAGCCTGGGGCATCCAGAAAGTGCAACCGGTTCCAGGAACAAGGAACAAGAGCGCTTTTTACTTGTAGCTCACAGTGACCATGACATTTCCTTGTAATCATATCACATAGATTATCTTTTCTCCCACAATGCAAAGGTGGACTCAGCTCTTTTCCCGGAGGCCCTGTAGCATTTTTAACCGTTGTAGCAGAAAGAACATTGAATTTCCTGATCCTTGATCTTTGATGTAATCATTAGAAAATATTGCCCTAAAAAAAGATGCTCTAAATCCTTAACTACAGTTCAGAGAGATCTTTCAGGCACCATGGGTTTCAGTGAATTTAAGGAACTCTGGTCTGTCCTGAATGGCTGGAGACAGCACTTCACCAGCTTTGACAGCGACAGGAGTGGCACGGTGGATCCTCAAGAACTGCAGAAGGCCCTGACAACAATGGGTGCGTATGGGGAGGGGTCATTTTTTAAAAATTTCTAAATCTGCTGCATGAAGGCAGTTTCTGTATTCTAGAAGTATTGGGTATTAATAGTACTCTCAGTCTTAAAATATTGTGCTTATTTTTTAATGATCTTTCTGTCATCCTTTAACCTTTTGGCTGGATGAATTTTCTTCCTTTCAGGATTTCGGTTGAGTCCCCAGGCCGTGAATTCAATTGCAAAACGATACAGCACCAATGGGAAGATCACCTTTGATGACTACATCGCCTGCTGTGTCAAGCTGCGAGCCCTGACAGGTGTGTTCTTTGAGACGGTGTCGTCACCATAGGTCAAGAAGACACGCATTTTTATGACATTTCATTTTTCAGTGCTTCTAAACTTTTATTGTCCTAATCCCTTTTTTTTTTCTTCTAACTTAAGTGGCTTTTTAACATTTCTATTCAACTCATCTAGCAGAATTATTTTTTCAGATTTTTTTTTCAGATTTGTACATAAGCTGCCATTAAAAAAATCCTGACAGAATTTTACTGAAATGTTCCAAAACATGACAGACTAATTTTTTGACAGAGTATAAGCAGTATTCTGTGACTTCTCCCTAGTATGTGAAATATCTGAAAAGAGTGAATCACTCATTTGTAGTTCTCTTTCCTATTTCCTCCTGATGGAAAGTAATCTAAAATAGTGGTCATCTGTTTCAGTTGTATTTCTTAAATGATGAGACATCAATAATCTCTATACATTTCTATTCCCTCAACTCTTTTCCTTCCTCTTGTATACCTTTTCTTGTTCCATTCCTTTTACTCTTTTTAATATCAGATTGTAGAATGTTTATTCATCCTAACAAAAATTTGAGGGCAGATTTTTTAATGAAAGTAAATCCTTTTCAATAGGGCAGAGCTCAGGTGGAATATTTTATCACGGCCCGTTTTCCATAGTACGTTCACCACCTATTTCCTAATTAAACAACATCTATGACATTAAGAACTTTGAAATCTGTACTTTCATCAAAATTAAGTAATGGCCTCAGAAGCCACACAGCTTTTACTGAGTTTGGGATAAAGTGTTTTCTTCCAGCTCCACATTGAAGGAGACAGATGGCCGACTTCTGCACATTGTATTACTTTGTTGTTTATTATTTTTGTTCATATTCATATAATTGGCTTCTTTGCTTTGGTTATTTTGGCTGGTTGTACAACTTAAATGTTATTGCAGTGTGAACCCAAAGCCAAAATAATTAGCTATTGCGAGTTCATATATTTTTAATTTACTGTCTTGTTTTACAGACCACTTTCGAAGACGGGATACTTCTCAGCAAGGTGTTGTGAATTTCCCCTATGATGATGTAAGTCTCAGTAAATTCAGAACTGAGTAGCTGCATAAGATGCACACCAAATGGGATGCCCTTTGAAGTTAACTGTTAGGAGCATCTTAAGCAATGGTTCTCAACCTTCCTAATGCCGTGACCCTTTAATATAGTTCCTCATGTTGTGGTGACCCCCAATTTCATTGTTACAAATTGAACATAATTAAAGCATAGTGATTAATCACAAAAACAATATGTAATTATATATGTGTTTTCCGATGGTCTTAAGCGACCCCTGTGAAAGGGTCGTTCGCCCCCCCTACCCCACAAAGGGGTCGCGACCCACAGGTTGAGAACCGCAGATTTTAAGGATGCCAAGTAATCCAGGCTTCAGTGATCAGGAGTTATCATTCAGAATTTATCCATTTCATTTATTATTCATCTTACTCACAGAACACTGTTTGCTGTATATTAAAAAGGCCTGGGTCAAAGCCCAGCTTGTCCTGCTCTGGCTGGGTCACTCAGGCAGGTTTCTGCATTGCTCTGAGCCTGTGTGAGGGGAGAGGAGGAAGCAATACCTTCTTCACCCAGATATTGTGAGATTTCAATCAGAAATGTCCTTGAAAAGCATCGCTCAGTGTATCTGCTTCCTTCTCAGTCACTGAGAAGGAACTTTAAGAGCTCAAGACACTATGTGACACACCCATTTCCTTCATGGAGGACATCAGGCACAAACTCAAGGGTTTACTAACCAGCCACACTAAATGAGGTAGGATCAGGCCATGTCACCAGCATGAAGGCGACCGAGGGCCACTTTGATTGCATTCGTTGGATATATGTAACAAAGCAAGGGAGAGGTTTAGTTGTTTCACGATTTTTTGCTTGAAAGCCATTGATTTTTTAAAAAATTACTTTTAGAATAAAGTCACTGTGATAACTGAATAAACTAAATGCTGCTCCGTCACAAAATACAAAGATGCACGTGAATTCGGCTCAGCAGCTGCTGCACGTAGGAGTACACTTTGAAAAGGCTAGTGTGTAAATGTTTATTTTTTCTGCTTAAAGATGTGTTCTCTTTCATGTGCAACTTCTCAGGTGACAGTCCCGTCACTGTTTCCGAAGGCCAGGCAGCCTGTGGAGTGGAAAGTCACAGCCTTTGGCCTCAGATGGGGCCACTTAAGAGATACCTCAACATCTTGATCCTTAGTTTCCTTTTCCCTGAAATGGGGCGGTCAGCTGGGCCTTGCAGGGATGCTGCAGGATTAGCAGTGCACGGTCCTCCTGGTGTTAGACGCGTGAAAAAGAAAACTGATAAGAAGCCCAGTCTGCTGGGGTGTGTTTAGTGGCGGAGCAAGCAAGCATGTCACAGCACATGCTGATGCTTCTGAGCTGGGGTCTCTGAACTGCAGAAGGGTCGGGGCTTCTGTTTCTGTGCACACATACACTCGCATGCTACCATTCCATTGATTGATTAAGCAGATTTGAAGGGAGTAAACTGTTTAAAGGAGCTCTGTTAGAGTAACGGGGTAACCCTGTGCAGTTTGGAAGTCTCCACGTGATACGAATGTGTAAACTGAACTGTTATTTCTATTTATGAGTATGAACTTTTGGACATGCCCATTTCTTGAGTATTTGGAATTTAAATAATTCTGTATTCATTGGAGTAAGATCTGATGTGAGCTTTGACGTGAGAAACCCATTGGATTTTCTTTTTTAATACTCATCTAAGGATGTTTATTGATTTTAGAGAGAGGGGGATGGAGAGAGAAAGAGAGAGAAACATTGACCAGTTGCCTCCCGTACAACCAGGATCGAGCCTGTAAATTTTGGTGTATGGGGATGACACTCCAACCCACTGAGCAGCCCGGCCGGGGCACCCATTGGATTTTATATTAGACTGCTTTCCTCAAAAAAAAATGAGCCTTTCCATATGTCATTTACTTTTATTTTATAAAGGAGTTTTAAAAATCCATAATTCAAACTAGAATATGGAATGTAAGTTGCTTAAACATAAGTTAGAGTGTATAAGTTTAAGAGGTCTGTGTTGTGATGCCGACTCTTCTCTCTTTCAGTTCATCCAGTGTGTCATGAGTATTTAAATCCAGAGGAAGCTGTGTGAACGGGATCGACATTCCAGCGGGAGCGCTCGCTCTTCGCTTGCCTTCAGTGACGCGTGTAAACTTGCTTCACCGCTTTTCCTTAACAGCTGTTGTAAAGGTTTATTACTTTATGTACATCTGGAGTTTTTGTTTTCAGTTTAGATAATAAATTCTTTGGAATTTTATTAATATAAGATCAGTTCTGTTACACCATTTAGAACTTCCTTGAGCCATTGTCATGACTTATTTTCTTGTTAACCCTGTTTTATGTGAATTTAAGTGTGCAGGATGTTTAAGGCACATTATATACTTTTGACTGTAGGATACTAAAACCTTTTCATCAGACTGCAGCTGCTGTCATTCCTCCCCTAGAAGGGCTCTTGCATGTAATTGAAAGCTTTATGTATGGCATATTTTTGTTTTGTTTTGTTTTGTTACTCCTCACCCGAGGATATTTTTACCATTGATTTTTAGAGAGAGTGGGAAGGAGGGGGAGAGACAGAGAGAGAGAAACATCGATGTGAGAAAAGACATATTGGTTGCCTCCCACACGTGTCCCAACAGGGCCGGGGAACGAGCCTGCAGACAAGGTAGGTGCCCTTGACCAGAATCAGAACCCAGAACCTTTTAGTCCTTGGGCCAACACTCTAACCTCTGAGCCAAACCAGCGAGGGCTGTGTGGAGTATTTTTATCCTGTAAAATGTTTTATACCTACAGTGATGCAAAAAAACCCCATGGTAATCCATGTCAGGGTTCGTCTTGGTAGAAATTTTAAGGTTTTAAGGCTTACAGATGTTTTGATTGATAGTCATATGAACAGATGGGAACAGGAGTGATTATTTTCTGCCTCTTGAAAACCTATTGAATAATCTCAATGGCAAATACTGACTGTCACCAAGACCTTCGTCATCACCCACGTAGATCTTTGTTAACCATACTTAAAAACCTTGTACATTCTGAGCTTGACTACGTAAAAAAGAAAATTAACAGGAAAAAACTAAGGGAATATACGAAAATATGAGCTGATTATTTTGGCTAACAGCATTCTAGGTGATTTAACTTCCTTTATACGTTTCAGTATTTTCCAAGCTTTCTATAATGTGTGTGCTTTCCCTTTAAAATCAGATGTTAATTTTTTAAATATTGATACTTTCATTTTGATATGCCATGTGTTCACACTGACATTAAAACATATACACAACCAAAGGTCTGGAAATTGTGTTCTGAAATGTTGCTGTGCCTGCCACAGGGAGTCAGGATCGTGAGCTCATTTTCTTCCTCCCAGCTACTTTTCCAGATGTTCTCTGATCAGCAGGTATCACACTGGAGTGGAGGGCTTTTTAGAAAAAACCTTAAAGCATGTCCTTCTAAGTAAGATCTGGATTCCAATGCTGCCTGTGCCTCTTCCTGTGGATGTGGTTTGACCACTTTAGGTCATCTCCGACCCTCAGTTTCTACATCTTTGAACAGGGATTAGCTGTTACCTCCTGGGGTTAATCTGACTCTGAAAAAGTATGTTGGTAGAATCAACACCAATAATGTTTCTATTTCTTAAATTTAAAGCTGGGCTGGTTTGCTCTTTTTTGCAAGAGAGCTTAATAGATAAAATAATAAACTTGGTCTAATGTCTCCCTGCCAGCAGAACACCTGTCTCATTCTGGGGCCCAACGTGACAGCTACCATTCTGATGCCAACCAATGAAAATCAAACACTTCTAAGCATCTTTAGCCACATTTCAACTATTTTTTCAAATATTGCTATATATATATATATATCTTCATTTATACACGTTTATTCAGCCCCAACTTATATATTTATGTCAAGTAGTCACACCTGGACTACATGTTAGACGGTGAGGCAGCTGGTTTATACAGGGTGGGGCAAAAGTAGCGTTACAGTTGTTCGTATGGAAAATAACACAAGAATAAACTTTTGCATACTCACAACGTAAACCTACTTTTGCCCGGCCCTGGGTTTCACTCCAGAGATACTGTCTGAGGCACAAAGCTTGGCTTGATCCTGAGCTGTCCAGAGGAGGGCCAGACAGCTCAGAGGACCAGGAGGCAGGGAGCACCCTCAGTCTCAGGCCTGCTGTTTGCTCCGATCCTCTGGAGAAGTCACGGTTTAAGGAAGGGTTGTTTTCTGGATGACTAAGGGTGTGAGGAAGAGGGCTCTTGCCGACTCAAGCTGATGGGCCATACTTGAAGCATCCGACTGCTTTGATGAGCCCCAAGGAGCCGCAGCTATCATGGTTCTGAATTTGCCTTTGGTCAAGTGCAAAAGGACACAAAACCATGTCTCTGAAAAACTCGATTCGGTGTTAATTATTGATACCTTATAGCAAGTCTCCGTATCTCTTCCACTTCTACTTTCACTATTTCTTTCCGAAAGCATGGAGCCTGGTCTTCAGCATGTCCCTACATTAGAAAGTTTCCTTCCCCTTGAGGAATTTGACGTATACATCTCCTTTCTTTAATTACAGCCAAAGTCTTCATTACAAGTGAATCTCGTGTTGCCTTATTTCTATTTTATGTTGGGTTCTGTGTCTCATTCATTATATACTTCCAGTGCAACCTCTCCCACTTCTTTACAACTGTCTCTTGGTCTGTTTTTCTGGTAAAGCTGTGAGGTCAAACCTGAATACTTCAGTTACTTGGAGAATTAATTTCCTCCAGTCACCCCGACTCAAGATTTGATTTAATTTTACAGATTTGTGCTTCAAGAGATTCCATGAGTTATGAAATATACCCTTTCCAAGTGCTTCCATAGGATGTGGCTACAGGAGGCCTGGCGCCTCTCTGGGGATGACTGGTATGGACAGCACGTGGAAGTCTTACCTAACTGCTCACAGCTCTCACTCCCCTTGAGCCAAAGTGGAGGTCAGGCTCCACTTGTGCATGAAGTTCCAGGTGGTACCGTCGGTCACAGATGGCATGTGAGCGCAAACCTCTGCTCTTTCAGAACTAGACTTTGCCTTCACTCAGCTGAGTGCATCAATGTTTCAGTGCACATCTGAATGAATATTTATATATGCTTAAAATATAAATACAAGAAATGGAGCTCTATGTAATCACCATAAGTTTTTTTTCTGTGTGGTTTTTTTTTTTTAGTTATAATACATGTACAAGCCCTTAATCCATTTTTCTCACATATTACTTTTTTCCTCAGCAGACTAAGAGCTAAAGGCAAGGAAAGTGCAAGTTCCAGGGTAAAGACTAGTGGGTGAGCACAGCCAGTGTGGCTCAGGGGTTGAGCATCAACCTATATGAACCAGGAGGTCATGGTTCGATTCCTCATCAGGGCATATGCCCCGGCCCCGGTTGCAGGCTTGATCCCCAGTGGGGGGCATGCAGGAGGCAGCCGATCAATGATTCTCATAATTGATGTTTCTTTCCCTCTCCCTTTCCCTCTGAAATCAATAATACATATTATATGTATATATAAAAATATAAAATGCATACATTATACATATATACATGACTGGGGGGTGAAATTGCTGCTTGGTAGATGATGAAGCAGCAGGTGTAACAATTTTTCAGTCTATGAACTCGAACTTAAACAGCCTTCCGAGGCCCATCGCTTTAGAGTCTAACACAGGTGAGCTGTTAAATAAGCCCACTGCCTGGGCTCTAGGTCAGGGTACGGAGCCGGGTCCTTGTTAGGGTCAGGGAGAAAGTGCAAAAAGATGAGGCATAGCAGGTGGGTAGATGGAGGAGGCTCTGCCTGCTGCCCGGCTGAGGAAATCGTCCAGCAGACACACCCAGGCTCTCCTGAAGGACCACTGCATCTCTAAGCATGCTGACGGCCTTGTTTAGGACAGCGCGGCACAGAAAGAAAACCCCTTACCTGTATCCACACATAGCTTCTGAAAGACAAACAGTGGCTGGGAGAAAAGCAGGACTACAGGGGGTTATGCATCAAAAGAACATTGATCTTTCATTGAAAGTCACTTTATTGATGTTACAATGAGAGTAACATAGAAAATTGTGGTCTCTTATTAGCTTCAGAAGGGAAGACTAATAAAATTGTGCCGGTGATTTGAACCTCAAGTTACAGTGACCTTTAAAAACAGCAAGATTTTGTTAACTTACAATATGAGAACAACCTCAGCACTGGAACAGCCATAAATCAAGTCACGCTTGCTCAGGAAAGCGGTTGCCATACACATTTCAGTCGGTGTTTGCCAAAACCCAATAATTTTTAAATAGCCTAAGAACCTGAAGTGCAGAGAGGCAGAGAGGATAGAATGTGAAAACGCAGCCAATCTAAGTATATACACGATAACCTGGTTATCAAAAGGGAAACCGGCTATTTATTAACACTTCCCACCAAGTGGCGTCCACAGTGGATGGGACATCACCCCTCGAAGATGACAGATGTGGAAAACACTCGCACAGACCTACCCTGGCTAACAGATAACCCGCTGTGTTTAGGGAGAACACAGTTTCTAAGAGAAGGTTTGCCAGGTGGAAGTCTCTTCCAGCAAGTGAAAAAAGCAGAGCATGCTCACGTATCCTGAATAAACCTATCAGTAAGCACTTTTCAAGTTGGTCTGAAAAAAAAGTGCTCCATATAAAACAAAGCTCTTGGGTCCCTTTTACCCACTAAAAAGACTCTGGAATCACAGTTTGATTTTTGTACTGGATTGTGGGATTTTTCATCAGGCAGTGATACACACGTATAATTTAGCAAAACCTCTTGGGTTATTACTGAGTACATGTATTCATGTCAGCACTTTCTGTGTGGTGTTACCTGGTATGACTTAGCACCGCTGTGTTTAAAGATTTGGAGCTATTTTCATTATTTTACAGCTTGACCATCAAAACACAAACCCACATCTGAAACTATATATAGGCTAAGCCCTAAAGCAGTGATGGTGAACCTTTTGAGCTCAGCGTGTCAGCATTTTGAAAAACCCTAACTTAACTCTGGTGCCACGTCACATATAGAAATTTTTTGATATTTGCAACCATAGTATAACAAAGACTTATATTTTTGATACTTATTTTATATACTTAAATGCCATTTAACACAGAAAAATCAACACAAAAAATGAGTTCGCGTGTCACCTCAGACACGCGTGTCATAGGTTCGCCATCACTGCCCTAAAGTATAAGTAAATTAGTATTATATGTGTGTATGTGTGTGTCTTTTTAACTTGAGAGGAAAATGTCCTTTTCTTAGCAAACT